TGTGGGTGTGGTTGTGGGTGTGGGGTGTGAGGATGTGGGCGTGTGGGTGTGAGGTGTGAGGATGTGGGCGTGTGGGTGTATACAGAGATAATCCAAACCTACATCGACACCGACATCCAGGCACACGCACACCTCACACCCCACACCCACCCACACCCTCATATATAGTTTTTTAGAGAATTTCAAGTGCTATCTTTTGATAAAAAAAGATGCTTTAATCTAAAGGATAATATAGGAGAAATTTTGAAAATACTAACAGTGTAATTCTTTTTACGCCACCCGTTATATTCACGTTAATGTACAGCGTTTACAACACTTCGATCATTACTATCATTATATGCATATCCAGTAAGATATTGATTTGTATTTATTTGTTTATCTAATAAATATTTTCAAATTTCTATTTTAATTATTAAGGCGTGATGAACATTCACGAAAACTATGTTATCCAGTAATTGGATTAAAATTAGAAGAATCAGTTGAACGTCTTCAAATCACTTATCGTTTAACAACAAATGTGAAAATTTGGTTTAATATTATTTTCTACTCCATTATTTATTGTTGAATCACGTCAAGATATTCTTGAAAGTCAATAGTTTGTTGAAATACGTAAAGAATATATATATCGTTGGTTTACAAATGTCAATGGGAAAAAAAGACTTAGCAAAAGATGATGAAAAACGTTCATATGAATTAGCTGCTTAGTTTGCTCATTTACAATTGCAATCAATACATAAAATCATGACATTAAAATCTTCATTCAATCAAGTATTTAAATTAAAAAATTATAGAACTGTAACAAGCTTTGCCAAATGTTTATTGGAATTGGAATCAGCACCTGATATTGTTCAGCAGATTTTTTTTTGTTTTACTCTTAATATTTCATTTTCAAACCAAACATTTATTTATTTCTCGACTTTAAGTTTGAAAAGTTTCAAAATGAACCAAAAAAAAAGAAAGAAAACATATCTTTAATGCACTCAAGATATATACGAAATCTGTTGATCAAAATTTTTTATGTGTTTTTTGATTTATTTGAAAACAATTTAGTTTATTCTTTGTTAAATGAAACATAAGACGAACAAAAAGATGAAAATTTTATTTTTATTATTTTGTTTAGACACGAAAAGTATCAAGTGTTAGTGAGAAAAGTCCAATCGATGAACATCCATTAAATTATGATGAATATAGTAGTCCATTTGATATTTGTACTGCATCCTACATACCAATTGATCGGTATAAAATTTAAAAAAGAAATTGAATTTAATTTAAACTTACCTTTAATTCTTGTTTAGTGGAAATCCATTAGTGAAATGTTCATTATTCAGTGCAACCTTTTTACCGAAATTTAAAGGACAATATGTCGTGTTACAAAAACAACTGAAATTGGAAAAAAATCTCTTGATCTTAGAATTTCACTGAGTCAATTTTATTAGAATAAGAAAGAAAAGAACTGTTTTGTTAATTCTATTTAATTATTATTAACTTTTAATAGATATATTTATCATTTTTAAAATATTAACTTATGATTAGGACGTTTTTCTTTTATTTCAAGATTATTCAAAATTCAACTGAAACTGTTTAATCATCAGAAAATGAATCGAAATGCTTCGTTTTTTTTGTCATATAAAAATGTAAATGTTAGAATTTTTTTTTAAAGAAAAATTATAATACAAATCTTCTTTAGTTAACATTTTTATAAAGAAATCCGTTTCTAAAACGAAAATTTAAAATCAATACATTTGTTTGAAATAAATTCACTTCAATAGACATTGAAATTCTATAATAGTATACAAAAATAAATAATCTCAATTTATAAAACGACATCAATGTAACTGAGTACTTTATAATTGTTTAAGAAATTTTATCGACATGATTTCATTTGATATTCAACCTTTGCAATATCTCGATTGACTAACTCAATTGGTAACCTACACGCATCTATTGAATATTCATACCACCAGCCGTTTCTGGATCAAGTTTACTAAACATATTGAAATTCAAAATAATTGATTCAATTTACAATAAACGATTGTTCACACCAAGAAAAAAAAAAGAATTTTGATTCATTATCAGACTGTCGAAAGTGTTGTTAACAACATTGATATACGTTATATTCACTAATGATAATCTAGCTATACAGACATTACACTTTATAATTAAGTTATTAATAAGACTAAGAGATAATTAAATATCTAAAGATATACTTTTTTTTAAATAGATTTCTTCAATATTTAAATAAAAATAAAAATGAACAATGAGAAATAAATTTTCATTCTAAAAACTAAAATGGAAGATAATAATGATGATGATTTTCTATTCAATGATCTATTTCCAATTGAAAAAATCTCCGTTGATTTCGATCGGCTTTTTTCCGGTTTCTCAATTACAGTTTCAAAATAAAAACAAAACAGAACCTATTCTAAAAACAAATTTTCTTAAATTAAAATCTTTTGTAGATAATCATCATGGTGATGAAAATCTTGATTCTACTACAGAAAAACATGGTCTTAATGGAACATTTCCAAGAACTTTTATAATTACAACAATGAAACGAGAAACAACACCATCAAGAAGATGTGTTATTGAAAAACAAATTCACTAATCATCAAATCAAAATGAAAATAACAAAACTGAAACAATACAAGTAAAATATGTGGAGTAAACATCATACAACAGTAAAACAAGATGGCAAAAATAATTCGAGAATATGTAAATGCAACAATAGATGAATTAGATCAAATTGATTCACCATCGAATGATAATAATGATCAACCAATTATTGACAAGAAGAGACATTCAGATTTTTTTTAAATTTTTTTCGTAAATAGAAGTTTTTTTGTTCAAATGATCTGCTAAAAATAAACGAAAGAAAATATTATTCGAGTTTGTTTTTTTTTATTGTGAAAACAAAAACATCTAGTTGTCTCACTATTTTTTACTTAATATATTTTATTTTTTACTTAATATATTTTATTTTTTACTTAATATATTTTATTTTTTCCGCTTGCTCAAAACTGAGAGTGTGAGTGTGGGTTGATGAAGAGAAGGTTGACATCCACACCCTACAACATTATTTAACTAATACATGAATTAGTAAAATTTTTCGAGCATCTTGATGATCAACATCGATCGACAAACATCGTGTGATAGAAATTACCGTGAGGCTTTTTTCTACACTTTACGAACATGTTTTACACTTTTGCAATAGAAATATTCGTATGAAATATACAGTGAGAGTGATGTAGAATCAATTACAGTGATATTAATACAAATGTATTGATCATATTTTTCTAGTAATGAATATTAACATTTGTCAAGTTATGCTTGTGTCTAATGATGAAGTTGGAATCAATTGTTATATAACAAAACAAAATATGTCTATGTACATATGCATTTCGACTTGCGAGAGCATTTGTTCCAAGTGTCAAATCAATTTTCGATCGAGATTATGTTTATTTGATAAATACTATTGAGTAACAGACAGGTGGAGAATGATTTGATTTTTGAATCTTTATTCTTTTGATATCGAACTTTTACGGAGTTTTTCAACAAACAGTTATGACCCTTACCAAGTCAAGTTAGACTTTCAAGTCCAGACTTTGCATGAATAAAGTTCTTAATGAAATTATTTGATTGTACAAATTTTTGCTTTTTTTGTATTTCATTTTTAGAAATATAAATATATGCGCACACTTTTTCTTTTATCAATGAGAGAATTTCGAATATTCGACATTTTAAAGCGCAAGACCTCATATGACTTGAGGAAAAAAATAGTTTTTTATTCAAAAAACTCTGTAAAACTTTCATATTTCAAGAAATAAAGGCTCGGAAAACTAAGCCATTCTAGCTTTTTTTTATTACTCACTAGTGTTCTTCAAATGAACGTTGTTTCGGTCGAAAAACAATTTGACACCTAAAGAAGTTTCCTTGTACGCTATCGAATCGTTAATATGTCTGTTTTCTAGACTGCATTAATTTTTAAACAAATTCTCTTTGTGATATGAGTCTTTCAAGATATAGACCCATATCAATGAATAGTATATACAACATGTAGTTTTTGGAAACTAATCTAATTGAGTTGTCTACATCTGCTTGATAGATTACGAGAAAATGGTCCCAAACGATCAAAAGATGAAACTTCATTGTCGAGGTTCAGCCTGGAAACTTTGCTTACATGAAGGCTTTAGAAAGACTAGCTTATGCACAAAATTTTAGAACTCAAGCGATTTTTTATTGATTTCGGTTAAAACATGCATATTTTAGCAGTAGCATGCATAAGCTAACCTCACTGAGATCTTCATCTAGGCAGAGTTTTTAGACTGAAACTCAGCAAGAAGACTTAATCGGAAAAGTGAGTTTATACAGAGAAGAATTCATTAGAAAGTCAATATATCGGTCAAATTATAAAGTTAGCACGGCTTTTTTGAGGCCTGTGCTAATCTATAAATCTCATATTACTGGGCAAAATATGGGCTCAAAAAGCTTTTAATCATCTCAAGACCTTCTCTTGTCAATCAAAACCTAAATCCTTTTAAGATTTTCATTAGAATATTATGTAGTGTCGATATACAAAAAAATCATTGACATCGGACGGAGACATTTTGAGTAGATCCGTTCGTTCGACATTGAAAGTTTATCTCTTCAACTTAGTTTTCTTTACATTTCAATTGAATTAAGCCAAAAGTAAGAATACCAATTAAAAATAAACTAACTACTGCAATAAAATTAAAAATTATGGATTTTTTCATTTTAATATAATAGAAATATATAACACAACATATAGTAAATCAAATATTCAATTATATGATATATGAAAATATATGAAATAAAAAAGAAAAAGAAAAACATAAGAACTTAATTCTTTTCTTCTTTCGATTTGATTTCATTTGATTTACTATATGTTGTGTTATATACGTATTTCTATTAACTAATGCAATAATAACAATTTTTAATATATATGTAGAAACTTACGATTTTCGAGTACGGTTTCCGTATATCTATTCACAGTGACTTAATTGGTAATCATCATATTCATCAATATGATAAACACATTTACCATGTATACAATAACATTGTGAAACACTTTCATGCTCGGTAACACTTGCTTTAAAGAAAAAGAGTATTCACACTATTTTATTATTCTCTTAATTTTCATACACGTACCTCCATTATATGTTCAACTATGTTCTTGAATTGTTGTATTCAATGAACATAAAGATTCGTATTGGTTTAATTGTATTAAAACATAGAAATGCGAAAAATTAGCTATTGCATATCAATTTAATATTAAAAAAAAAGACGAACAAAATTAAATATTTTCTTTCACTGTTCTACTAATTTTTTGTTCATCTGAATCTGATTGAATATGAAGTTAATAGATGATAAGTGTAGATATTCCAAGTTCAAATTTTTCAATGGTATATAATGAACGGTTTTCACGATTAATAAACTAGAAATGATTTGCAAATGTATCTGATGAAAATGTGAACTTTGATAAAAATCAATTGAATGCATTATATCTGTATCAATTAATATTGTACAATTTTTACCATTCATATAAGCTGATACAATAGTAACAATACTTTCATTAGGATTCTCAATAACTTCATGTTCATAATTAATAAAATAAAGTATTCCAACCATATGATTAACAGTAGCAATTTTTAATTGAATTGCATAATGTTCATCATTTTTTAAAACCCATATACAATCATTAATAAGATTAGTTACATAAAGATTTTGACCAATCCAATGGAACATAGGATTATTAGTATCAATAAAAATAAAACAAGCATTATGTTAATCTTCCATGAATACACCATAATTTGATGCCTTTTTTAAATGGGATTTCGACAAAGACGACGAATTTCATGTAGTTCAACTATTAGAAGATCGATTGTTTGATCTGCATAAAAATTGAGAGTGTGGGCGTTTGTACTTCATCGTCACCCATACCCACACTCCAAAAATGTCTAGCTCTTGAAAGTTTCAGATCTTGAAGAGACTTTGTTCAGAACTTCTGGGGTTTTTTTTTAATAGAAGCTGGTGCAGTTGAATTCTATATATGTGAAAAGCTGAAAATCAAAATTCGAAAGCATGAGTTTTTTTTCGAAAACCTGATGCAACCTAGAAAAAAATCGATAGTTTAGTCAAATCTTTTTGGAATTTTTGTTATTATAACACTATATAGTATCTATAAGAATAACTCATTTAAGTCAAAAAGGGGAAAGCTGTCGAGTTTTCTCTCTAAGAATTTGAATAATATGTAGTCATTTTCTATTAAAACAAAAAATTCTAAGAGACTGTTCGCTCTATTCATCTGCCAAATTATAGCTGGCGATCTAAAGGGTCAAGACAGAGGTTGAAGTTTTTGCGTAGTCTGATCTGTCATATAATATTCGATTTGATTAACAGTTCATGTCAAAGCTGTTGGTTTGACTTTAATGTTTTTGAAAACAAAGTTTTACCCATGAGCATATTTTATTCGAAAGTACTTTGATGAGTTCATTCGATTTTAACAAGAAATATTTGAACCGAATACCAATTTAGTTTTTCAGAGTATAAACTGACTGACAGATTATTATAAATATCACTTATTTCCTAGATTTTCTTTTACTATTTCGTTTTATGCGTAGTTCAATGCCATTTTAATTCTATATACTTATATCAAACAATATTTATGATGTGTATCTCTTAATTTTAATTCATTATTTCATGTAAAAAACTTGTTATTATCTGATCTTAATAGAAATAAATCAAATGAACAATGGAAACAAGAATGATAATTAATACAGAGTTATACAATTCAATATATTCGAAAAATTAGAAACACCAATCGGTTTCGTTTGGCTTTCAGATATTTCAAGATAATACTGTACTTTTCATATTCATAACGATAATCATTCATATTATGAACTATGGTTTAGACAAAAAGAATGTAAATAGAACAAATAGTTTAGGATAATAATGCAGTTTAGTATAATTTTACAGTCAATCTGGAACTTTCGATCTTGTTTTTACTGAGTACAGTTATCATCGTTAACACTAAAGACTTATCGCAGTTTCATTTATACAGCATTCAGAATTAAATCTATTGGTCTATGCGTATATTAATAGGATATTTTTTTTTCTTATTTGAATTATTTTTAATTGTTATTATTTGTTATGTGATAAAGAGTTCATGATCCAAATGAATTGCAAAATAATTCAAAATGTCTATTTTATAGAAGAGATTTATTTTAAGAATCGACTAGAAACTACTAGGGTAGTTCTCAAAATCTGAAGTTCTAAAATGTTTTAAATGCAAATTCATGATACCAGCCAAAAATCTTTAAGTCTTTCAAAGTTTTGAAATCAGTCAGAGTCGTAAATTCACAAAGCTTTTATATTTATTGAATTTAACGCTTTTATTGGTATATTTTCTTTTGCAATCGAAAGATTCTCAGTATTTTTAAAGTCAGAGTTTCGGGAATAGTAATGTGCAAGTCTTTTGAATCTGTAGTGTTGAAATCAGTTAGCGTCTTTATGTTATAGATGTTTTATAAATGTCGATGTTAGTTTTTTTGTATCTAGTCAAAGTTTTGAACTCTTTGATTTAATTAATAGTCTAGTTTAAAATAGATCATTTTTCAACAAAATGAAGTTTAAAAGAACTCTAAACATTAAAAAAAACTAGATTTTGAACAATTCTCACTACTATCGGAAATAAACTATAGACACATAAGTGAAAAAGTCTTTCATTTCTTTTTCATAAAGAAACACATACTTAATATAACAATATTTTGTTATTTAACTGATGAAGAATTGAAACACATTAAGTATCGATAGATTTTTCTAATCATTGAATTAACTGTTAATGTTCTTATTATAGAATCTTTCTATTACTTATATAAATATTTTTTACTGAGTCATGTCCTTACATGTAATGATGAAATTTCAAAACTAATATAATAAGACACGTGTATCCCATAAGAACACAAAAAAATTTGTTTGTAATTTTTTTTTCGAAAATGGAGACTGACATACAAAATGAGAATTGTTTAACAGTATTGGAAAGTTTTCCTAATGAATTATTCGTTCAAATCTTCTCTTATTTAACTTCTATTGATACAATTATTGCATTTTCAAATCTAAACAATCGCTTTCAATGTTTAGTTTTAACATATTGTCAAACATTTGATTTGATATCAATAAACAAGAAGAAATGCGATTTTATTTTTCAATTTCATGAGACAAATCAATGGAAATCATTACGCATATCTAATAACGATCAAAGACCATTTTGGATTGATTATTTTATAGAAAATTATTTTTCTATCAAAAATTTTTCTCAACTACAAACATTATCTGTTGGACAACTGAACGATAAAACTCAACAGTTATTCTTTTCTCTACTTCCATCTTTAACAAATTTGATTTCTTTATCAATTGATTCTCTATGTGGAAAAGAGATATTACCATTTGATTTACCAAAACTTCAAAAATTCATTTTTGGTTCATGTGAAAATATAGATTGGATTAAAGTATGAGAAAAATAAATCTTTCTTTTTAGTAAATCTTTTTTCTTTCTTATTTATTTAGAACTTTTCTCGAATTGAAACAATCGAATATACATTAAATCATTTTTGTGAAAAGAAAAATAAATTAATATGGCCATTAATAATAAAGAATCTAAAAATTGTTTTTTTGGTTGATACTGATTATTCATTAATATTAGATTCTCTTGTTCATTTATCTCAATTAATTACTCTTGAAATTTATGAAATGCGAGTAGGAAAAGTACCGTTGAACGGTCAAAGATGGGAAGATCTTATTCGTTCATCATTTCCATTATTAAAAACATTTAAATTTTATTTTATATTTCGTTCATTGACATCACAAGAATTGAAACGACTAGTAGCCTCATATTCAACACCATTCTATATTAAAGAAAAGCAATGGTTTGTCTATTGTAATATCTTTGCTAATTCTAAGAATAATCGATATGGAAAACTTAGCATATTTTACACATTACCATATCCTATGGAAACATTGACAATTTATAAAAATTCTTTTAAGAAAACCATTTCAAATTTACCGATCAATAATCATTTGAATATCTATACAAATATTAAAACGTTAATATTTGAAAATTATATCACACCAAATCATGACTTCAATAAAACTAAAATAATCAATTTAGTAATTAATACTCAATTCGAATCTATTTATTGGTTACATGCATTAACTAAATTAGAGCAATTACATATTGATCATTTTGGATTTATCTCTATGGAACAATTTCAAATTCTATTAGATAATACACCTTATTTATATTCATTATCTTTGAGAAAAAGTCAATTGATAAGATTGACAGATAACTGGAATGATGTTCATATATGTAATCATTTGTCACAAAAGATTCGTGTTTTAAAATTACATTCATATAAAAATCCACTAGAATGTCTGAATAGACATGAACTTGAACGAATACTGTCGATTTTCGAAACCAAATGTGAATATTTATCATTGGGTCTTCAAACCACAACTAATACAATCGATTATATTTTATCACGAATGTCTGCATTGAATTATTTACATATATTTGTTCGAGAAAAATTTCGCTTACCAATAACAAAAACACTAACAATGGAATGGTTAGAAAAACAACAAACTCAATTTAATAATTCAAATTGCATTATCATCAACAATATACATGGAAATTATTTTTGGTTATAATGATAATTATGATCGAACAAAAATATTTCAAAAATCAACAAATGATATTCATTCTTCATTTTTCTCTGCTCATTGTTGAAAAAAACTGTGATTTTTGTTGTTAATATGAATCAAATACTGTAACAGATATATTATGTATAATATCATAATCATATTAAAAGTTAGATAAACCTGTGCGAAGATACGTAAAAGAAATGTATCACACGAACGTAAAATAATAACTATCGTCTATTACGAAGTTTCTAATTGGATCAATCAAAGAGAAGGAACATGCAAATTTTATCTTACATTTTTAGAAAGTATAACAACGTCTTCAGATATTTTATAGAACAAAAACCTAGTTTCAAAGATTGAAATTTTTGAAAAGACCTCGAAAATTCAGTTTTTGAGATGTTCTTCGTGTTTCAACTTTTTCTCAGCGAAGACTCGATCAAAAATTTTTTTGAAGCTGGTGTTCATGATCAGTTCGACAAGATCTAGTTTTGAGCATAAAGTACCGATAAAAGTTTACTCGAGGAAGAAGTCATGCATAAGATTTTATAGAACGGAATTTTCCCTAGCGATTGAGTTATAATTACAATAGATTCTAATGAGTAATCATGGAGAAATTAATAAAATACTGGCGTACAAAGTTTAACTAGAGAAAGAGGGTTTCATTCATAGAGACCCTTTCAGTGTTTACTTCGTAACTTTTCATAGATTTTTCAAAATAAGATGAACATTTAAATTTAGAGGCTTCCAATGGTGCTCTTTTGTTTGAAATAAAAAAATATAGGACCCAAAATTTTTCACAGTATCGTTCTGCTAGCCAATATTCCATGTTCTCAGGGACTCTCTCTTAAATATAATACTCACGCTGAATAACAAACAGACAGAATCAGAAAAAGAAATCATAACACAGCTATATAATGGATGATGCATGTAAGAGAACAGAAAGAAAAATGTGTGAACGTCAATGTTGCTTTCATTTGTTCTCCATAGCAACCTAATAAATAGTAAAAGAAAAAACGTGTTGCTGTGTAATAACGAAAGAGGAAAAGCATTGTGAAAAAACGTAGAGATCTGTAAAAAAAAGCTATTTTTTATCAATAGTTTTCTAAAACAATTAAAATTCACAACATTCACGTTACAAACAATAAACAAAGAGAAATCAATGGCAACTGACAAACTGGATAGCTCCATAAAAATTGACCAAACACTTGACGTTTCGAGAGATGCTACTCAGAGACGACATGTCAATATCCAAAAAGTACAAAATGCTCTTCTGATCTGGTTGGACAATAATATTGACAGCAACAGCAAAGATTATCAAAACACAATCATACAACTTCGACGTGCTATTAACAACATTAGTACTTTTACGGATAGTGATCAATGCATCGAATTTATTCAAACAATTAACGACAACAAGGTATGCATGATCATGCCAGGATTTCTTGGGCAACATACTGTACCATGTGTGCACAATATGTCCCAAGTGGATTCTATTTTTATCTTTTGTGGCAACAAAAAACGTCATGAACAATGGATTAGAGATTGGCCCAAGATCAAGGACGTCTTTACAGAAATAGAATCTATCTGTGAAGCGCTCAAACAAGTCGTTCATCGATGTGAGCAAAATGCTATGCCACTTACTTTTATGCCATCTAACAAGAAGTTAGATCAATTAGATCCATCTTTTATGTACACGCGAATTCTCAAGGATATACTCATAAATATGGACTTCGAAGAAAAACATATTAAAGAATACATTGGTTATTGTCATGATGTTTTTGCTGACAACAAAGAAGAACTGATTCATATAGAATTACTAAAACGTCAGTATAGTAGCAAAACACCCATATGGTGGTATACTTATCAGTGCTTCCTGTATCCTATGCTCAATCGTGCATTACGACTGATCGATGGAGATATTATTATACGAATGGGCTTCTTTATTAAAGATCTCCATCAACACATCGACAAACTACATGCGAAACAATTTGGTGACCAATATTCTACTGCATCTTTTA